ATGCGAGTGATTATGCCGTAGGCGCAGTTCTAGGACAAAGGAAGGACAAGAAACTCCATGCCATCTACTATGCCAGTAGAACTTTAGATCCTGCCCAAATGAACTACGCTACAACAGAAAAGGAACTTCTAGCAGTTATATTTGCGCTTGACAAATTCCGTTCTTACTTAGTAGGAGCCAAAATTATCATATACACAGACCACGCTGCCATTAGGTACCTAATAAGCAAAAAGGATGCCAAACCAAGATTATTGAGATGGATCCTATTATTACAAGAGTTTGACTTAGAAATCAAAGATAAGAAAGGAACCGAGAACGTTGTTACAGATCACTTATCCCGAATAGAAGGCATCAAACATGAACCAGTACCGATAAATGACGATTTTCCGTACGAACATCTGATAGCCAAATTAGAAAGTGACATGCCTAACTTAATCTCGGAAGATCCAGAACTCGAAAAAGCCGTAGAAGCCGTCTATGCCCAAGTCACATTACCTTGGTATGCTGACATCGTTAATTACCTAGCTGCAGGCGTGCTTCCACCGGATCTCACTTATCAGCAAAAGAATAAATTCTTCCACGATCTGAAACACTATTATTGGGACGAACCTCTACTCTTCAAGAGAGGGGCCGACAACATATACCGTCGCTGTGCCCCAGAGGAAGAAATAGAAAATATCATTTCCCAATGCCACTCAGTACCATATGGTGGTCATGCTAGTACATCTAAGACGTGTGCTAAGATTCTCCAAGCCGGCTTATTCTGGCCTAACCTCTGGAAAGACGTTCACATCGTTGTGCTAAAATGTGATCGATGCCAACGAACTGGCAACATCTCACGACGCGATGAAATGCCTCAGAAAGGAATCTTAGAGGTAGAAATCTTTGACGTATGGGGAATAGATTTCATGGGACCATTCCCGCCTTCTTTTGGTAATAACTATATACTCGTCACTGTAGACTATGTGTCTAAATGGATAGAAGCCACTGCTGCTCCAACAAATGACGCACGAGTAGTAATCAAACTATTCAAAAACACAATCTTTCCTAGATTCGGTGTACCCAGACTCGTCATTAGTGACGGCTGATCACACTTCATATCACGAATATTTGATAAACTTCTTTCTAAATATGGAGTCCGACACCGAGTAGCTACGCCTTATCATCCGCAAACTAGCGGACAAGTAGAGGTCTCGAATAGAGAAATAAAACAGATATTGGAAAAGACTGTCGCTACCTCAAGGAAATATTGGTCATCAAAGCTACATGAAGCTTTATGGGCTTATAGGACTGCTTTTAAGACACCAATAGGTACTACACCCTACAAATTAGTTTACGGTAAATCCTGTCATCTCCCTGTAAAATTAGAGCATAAGGCCTTCTGGGCCATTAAAACACTTAATTTCAACTACACCGAGGCAGGAGAAAAATGAATCTTGAACTTATACGAATTAGAAGAAATTCGATTGGACGCTTACGAAAATGCCCGTATCTACAAAGAACGAACTAAAAAGTGGCATGATAAACATTCAGTCAAGAAACAATTCAGTGTGGGAGACATCGTACTGCTATTTAATTCAAGATTAAAACTCTTCCCAGGTAAACTAAAATCTAGGTGGTCTGGACCTTATGAAGTGACTAAAGTACTTCAGAGTGGAGCTGTTGAAATTACCGATAAGACGAATGCACCGTTTATCGTAAACGGGCAACGTCTAAAACACTATAATAAGAACGAAAACAGCCCTCAAGTCTGCAGTATAGCATTGCTTGAGCCTCCAGTTCAAACACCCGAATAGCTTGTCACCAAGCTATCGTCAGGCTTTAGACGTTAAAAACAGCGCTTACTGGGAGGCAACCCAATTTTTCCCGCATTTTCCTCATTACTGTATTTCATTCTCATTTTTATTTAAAATTCTACTTTGAAACTTTAACAAAAACTCTAAACTAAAAATTGCTACTATTTTTACCTTCTTTTATTTTAATTATTTTATTTTATTTTTCTCTTTTAATTTTTGTTTCTACCGCTTTTGTTTTTAAAAATCCTGACTTCAAATTTCTGTTTTAAACTTTTCAGGATTTTAAAAGTCTTCAAAACCTTCCTCCTGTTTTTCTCCGACTTACCTGCGAGTATGGCCGCGTACGACTTCACAAAGGTTCATTTTCGAGGACTAGCTCAAAAGGCAAGATTTGAAGCATTAATTGAGAGAGAACTAGCCTTAACGTTGTATTATGATAAGTCTATCATGGAGAAACTAGGAATCACTGATAGCATCCAATACCTGTTCAATCAATTAGGCTGGGAGAACACTGCTTTGAAAACCCGTTTTGCTACCTATAAGGACCTCACCTACGAATTCCTTAGTTCCTTCAGGTACCTACCCAACTATGGTTTTGGATCCAACACAGAGCTGATCACCTTTAGGATGTTTGGAATGGACCAAACCCATAGTCGGATGTCATTAGCCAACCTCCTAGGATTTCCTAGCGGACCACATGTGTTCATCAGTGCAGAAGATGACGATATTGATTTTGAACTCAACCAGTTCTGGGGTAGAATCACAGGCGACTATCACCCTGAACCAGAGAGAATGTATAATGATGAGATTCATAACCCAACTTTCAGATACTTTCATAAGATACTAGCTCACACCCTTTTCGGGAAAGAAGAAAATATTACTACAGTATCTAAAGAAGAGTTATTTATCATGTTCTGTGCTTCTCAGGGACGTACAGTGAATGCAGTACCGTTTATGATGAGATCTTTCCGACGCCTCACTCAGGAACCACAATCACCTATTCTAATAGGAGGCCTTGTGACAATGATTGCCCACGAGCTTGGCCTTAGATTCCACTTAAATGCAAGCACTAGTTTTGGCACCATCCGACCCATGAATATCCAGTTCTGCTTTAACAGGCACATTTTAAGAACTATGGGACCTGGACCTTACGAGTACCTTATCAATGACAAACCTGTCCAGCTATTCACATTGCCAAATCATCAGATGACAAGTATCCATAACAAGGACAACTGGCTTTATGAATTGGATGAGCCTATGGGACCTCCTTCACCTCAATCAACACCACAGAACTACATGTACGACAGTGATCACATCTCTGAAGCACACGATTATATGTACTATGAGGATGCTGTATCAGAAGCTGAAGTAGACCCTACGACTCCTCCGCATTACAACACCTATCCTGAGCCCATTCCTGAGGAAACCACCGACAAAATGGATATTGTCCTGCACCGGTTAGACAACGTTGACGCAGCTCTGGCCACCGTAAAAGCAGACATCACAAGCATCCACAATGAACTCGTAGTCTTCATGGACTTAGTCTGTGACCAGCTCGACTACTACGCCCAGAAATTTGATGAATTGAAGGCACGAAAAGACTAGATATTAGCTTTAGTTTAGTTTAGTTTAGTTTTTCTACTTTCCGTTCGTTTTCAATTAGTTTGAATTTTTGCATTGTTACTTTCCTTATGTATTACATTACAATCATTCTAATTACTTGTTATTTTAATTATATTCTTTATTCATCGATTCTGTGTTGTTTACGTTATCCTTTGTTTATTAACCGATATAAAGCATTGCCATATCAATACTAGGCCTAAAAATCATTGCAAGAACACCCCCAAAGCAAAATTCTGCGTTCTGCAGATTTTGCTGGTGTGACGACCGTCACAGAAGCCTGACGCTCCTCACATGGGTGACGACCGTCACAGATACGTGACGACCGTCACGAGCCAAAAACTGTTATCTGATATAACAGGGGTTGCGTTTTCTCTCCCACTCACATCCTTTCAACTTCCAATCGAAAAACTTGATCGCGACTTTCTATGTCTAATACAACTTAACTGCAAGTGCACAGTCTATCGCGTAGTAATAAAAGATATCAATCCCACAGGGACTCGTAATCAAACTAGTGTTCTCGGGAGTTACTATGTTTAGCTAGGTAGATAATGTTTAAGGGAATTAATTTTTGTCACTAAAGGGAATTAAAGATGTTACTTGAATTATAATTACGTGAATCGATATGCAGTAATTGTGTTCTTCGGGGATTTGACAAGTTACCAGTGTATGAAATATTTTTCAGAATTTATTTAAGCAGAAAATAGTGATCTGAAGACTTTCGTCTCACGATGGTTGTTGACGCTAGTCATAATTCTAAGGGCCAAATGTACATTTGGCCCTTAGAATTATGACTAGCGTCAACAACCATCGTGAGATGAAAGTCTTCAGATCACTATTTTCTGCTTAAATAAATTCTGAAAAATATTTCATACACCGGTAACTTGTCAAATCCCCGAAGAACACAATTACTGCATATCGATTCACGTAATTATAATTCAAGTAACATCTTTAATTCTCTTTAGTGACAAAAATTAATTCCCTTAAACATTATCTACCTAGCTAAACATAGTAACTCCCGAGAACACTAGTTTGATTACGAGTCCCTGTGGGATCGATATCTTTTATTACTACGCGATAGACTGTGCACTTGCAGTTAAGTTGTATTAGACATAGAAAGTCGCAATCAGTAGGACTGCAACAAGACTTGGTTTTGGTGTGGTTATAGGAAGATCGGATAATGGTTCGGAAAGAAGAAACACTTTTGTTACTTTGTCATGCGAAAGAAGTGGTAAATATCAAATTCTTCTCCGAAAATTTAAGAGAGAAGACACGGGTAGTAAAAAATGTGAGTGTTCGTTTAAGCTTCGCGGTTACATATTGTGTAGTAAAAAGTGAAAATTTAGTGTTATTTGTGGTTTTCATAACCATGATTTGTGCTTAAAGTTACAAGGCCATCCTAGTGTATGTCAGCTCAAGCCGAAAGAAAAGACATGTATTAGTGACATGACCTTGAATCTTGTCTAACCGAAAAATATACTTACCACATTGAAACGGAAGGAACCCAAAAATATATCAAATATAAAACAAGTGTATAACATTCGGTACCGCACCAACAAGACGATTAGGGGAGATAGAAGTGAGATGCAACAACTGTTGAAATTGTTGGATGATAACAATTACGTGTCCCAGTATAGAGCTTGCAACGATGAAGTTACTGTTCAAGATATTTTTCGGACTCATCTAGATTTAATAAAGTTGTTCAACACGTTTTCGACAATGCTCATTCTTGATTCTACCTACAAGACCAACAAGTATAGACTTCCTTTATTTGAGATGGTTGATGTTACGTCTACCGAGAAGACATATGTCGTTGGTTTTGCTTTTCTCGAGTGTGAAAAAGAGGACAATTTTACACGGACATTAGAGGCGTGTTGGTCACTTTTGAAGGACCAAGTTGAGATGCCTAAAGTGATTATTATCGACCGTGATACCGTGTTAATGAATGCGGTTTCAAAGGTATTTCATTTTTCTAATGCATTACTTTGTCGATATCACATAACAAAGAATGTGAGAAGTTGGGTTAAACTCGCGGTGGGGACGAAACAAGTAGAGTCCAAAGGTGGAAAATTGGTGAAGACCGATGTGATTGTTGAAAAAATAATAGATGCATGAAATCGTATACTAGATTCTCCCACAAAAGAATTATATGCCGATTTCGTCACTCAATTCCGGAAAGTGTGTGTTGCACCCCAAATTTGTCCTACCTTTACATAGTTTCTAGTGCCACTTTATTTTGAATGAATAAAATGGCACAATTGGCAAGAGACCGTGTGTAAGGAGTTGTGAGTGTGAGAGGTCGAGAGTTCAAATCCCACCTTCTTCACTTTTTGTTTTTCTTTTATTTTTATTCTAACTTTTCTATTTTTATAAAAAAAAAAATAACAAGATAGTTTTTTTTTATTATTTAATTATTATTTTCGTATTTTATTTAAATTATTTTTTAAAAAATATTATTTTTTCACTTTTTTCCATATTACTCATAAAAACATCCAAAAATCATAAAATTAAAAATATTAGAAAAGATTTTATTCTTTTAAGTTTGTTTAAGTTTGTTTTTTTTAGTTTTGACTAATTATTTAAGTTGTGCTTTAAAATAGGCATTAGGTTAGAGTTAACCCTAATTTGTTACCTATATAAACATGAGTTGCATTTGAGAAAAGGGGAGAAGGGAAAAAAAGAAAAACGGCGGCCGTTCTCACGATTTATCAGAAGAGGGAATTTTCTTGGAAGAATCCTAAAAGGTTTGAATTCATCATCAGCCAAGCGCTACCGGCGAGCAAAAAGTCCCAACGGCGGAGGCTCAGTTCGTTCAACATCATCGTCGTTACCGTAAGCTTTCTCTTTCCTTTGATTTACGGCATTTTATGATTTTTGTGTGTTGTTTTGTTCATTGATTGTAGATCAATGGGAAGAATAAATAGAAGATGACATGCAAGGATTGAAGGAGAGGAAAAGCTTCGATAGTCATCCAGGGAGAAAACGGCAGAAGCCTTTTTATTTACGTTTCATTTTTTTATTTTATTATTCAATTGTTTATTTTTTCATTTATATTAACTATGTAGTTTGTAATTAATAATGCAATTAAGTTTAGGTAAGCTATTTCAACAACAACAAAAAACATAACGTAATCAGTTTTTTTAAAAATTAAGACCTTTCTAAAAAGTTTTTTCAAAAATTAAATCATTTTTTATTTAAAAACATATTTCTAAATAAAACAGTTTTTCTTAATTAAATCTTTTTTCCAATTAAAACCATTTTTCATTAAGTTAACACAAAAATTAAAAAATGACCTTTCTTTCACTAAAACAAAAATTAAAACCTTTTTCGTTGAATTTAAATCAAATTTTTCATTAAAATTTAAAACACTTTTTTAATTAAAATTTAAAACATTTATTTTTGATAACATTAAAACATTTTTTTTCAAGACATTTTTTCATTAAAATTAAAACCAGTTTCTTTATTAAAATTTTTAGTAAATAATTAGAATAGTTTCTCCATTTAAGCATGAAATTAATTCTCCTCTCCTCTTCTCAATAAAAACTCAAAAAGAAATAAGTTTTGATTTAGCCGTTTCATTTTTGTCTAACCCTCGTTAATTTGTTTGTTTCAACTCGTTATTATTTCATTTGTTCGTTTTTGTTCCATGGATGTAATTTACGCGAGGCCATGGTCGCGGTTATTTTATTTTGCATTTTTTTGGGACTTGTAATTTACGCGAGTGATCATCGCGATGCTTTATTTACTTTCCGCATTTTACTTCTGCCGTATAATATTCCGCCATGTTTGCATGTTTACCGTTAATCATCCTTCCGAAGGATTAGGTCTAGCCGTTTGACCGCTGAGTCAATAACCCTAATTTTTGACCGTTTCAAACCCTAATAGTATAAGTGTCACGCCGTGGACAAAAATACCCTTTACCCTAGTTTTAGGTCAAAGAGTCGCCGTACTCTGTTTTAGGGTTTCCCGCCGTGGAATCCCTAATTTCAATCCTAAATTTTCAATTAACAAATTCAACATAGAAATAGGAGTTTCAAAGACTCCACGTAAGCGTGTCCTTAAGATACGTTTATTCCCCATTGAAACCTTGACCATAGTCAAGATGTTTCTAACCTCCCTTTCGAGGGGAACTACGATTACTCTGATTCCATTCCCTATCCAGGATACGTAGGCACAAGATGCGACGTCTTGCCGAGTAAACTTAGGACTAACCCTTAGGTCTTTAGGTCACTCTATCCCTTAGCATTATATTTCAAACAGATAATAAAATAAAAAAGCATACAATAAACAAAAGGTTCCTGTAGAGTACTACAGAAGTTTAGGGTGCTAGTACCTTCCCTAAGCTTAACCAACCCCTTACCTAGATCTCTCCCCGCATTGTCTTTACGATGCAAAATTAGGTTTTCCTCTTTTGACCTTTTCCTTCGGATAAATCAAAGAGCGGTTGTGAACTAAAGATGCGATTCAAATTAATTAATAATTTGATATCATATTCTAACCGCAACAGTGTGTGAAAAGTATCCTGTTTTGTTGAAATATGTTGAAAACACCATTCTTGATCAGGTGAAAGAGAAGATACTTTGTGCGTGGACTGATAATGTCTGACACCTTGGAAAGACAACCACAACAAAGTTGAGTCGACTCATGCTAGTTTGAAAAATTGGTTGGTAAATAGCAAGGGGGATTTATGTCGAGATTGAGACTCCGTAAATCTCATGATTAAAAACTAACATAATGAGATACAAACAACATTTGGTCGGAGTATAACGATATTGAAACATTGATTTAAAGATAACACTCTTTATTCTCAATTGATCGGTAATATATCCCGACTTACCAACTCCTAAATCTCAAAAAAGTGTCATGAAAGGAGCCCGCATAAGCAAACCGCCTCTGACCCCAATTCCACCAAAAATTCCATTCATCGACGAGATACCAGTTTTTATGCAAAAATACATCGACTGTATCGTCAATGTTGAAGGGGATGGTAATTTCAGTTACCAAGCCGTTTTAGCTTTGCTTGGCAAAGGAGAGGATAATCATGCGCTTGTCCGTCATAAACTAATCCAAGAGTTGAAGACGCATAAAGAATCGTATACACAATTGTATGGAAAGAAAGAAAAATTCAATGCGGTTTATGAATCTCTTCTTCTTTGCTTGAGTGGTCCGACACTGGTGTCGAAATAAATGACCTTCCCTGATATGAGTTATCTTATTACATGTGCATATGATAGGGTGTGCATTGACTTGACGCGATACGGGTTTCCAGAAACCTTTTTCCCACTCCACAACGCACCATCTCAAAATCCACATGATCGCATCATGTGTATTAGATGGATTGCAAAATCAAGACATTTTGTACAAGTTTACTTGAAATCGGGATGCCCCATGCCACCTACATCACCAGAATGAGCGACTCATTCAACCCCAAATGCTGAGACGTGGCTGAATTGTTTTGTTGAAAGGATGCACGAATACGAAAGATTGAACAACATTGAAAAAGAATCGAATTCGGAAAAGTCCAAAGGGGTACCACCAATAGATTTAGCCGGCGACACTTATTTTGATTCGTTTTTGAATTCTTGTATAATCGGACGAATAATTGTAAATTTTTGAAATGAAAAATAGTCACACTTTATTCTCATGCCTTATTTTTGCACATATGCCTTTTATTTGTCTATTATGATGTCCTTTTATATTGATTTTTGCTTTTAAAATATAGCAATGTAACTTCCAGATATGTATCTACGGAAGGTTCTTAGTTATGCAGCTCCAGTGGAAGTTCCAGAGATACATATCTAAAACCAATAATTATAGGGTCGTTCCGTGGATATAACTCCGGAAACAAGTTTGACAAGAAATGGTTGGTCCATATTCACCTAGGTTTTCTATAAACTTGAGGTTTCATTTGTTATCTTTCATACAAATGCAAAAATGTCTCAATTGTTTGAAATCAAGATCCGTTGGTATGTCGCAAGTGTCTCCTTTTCCGACGACAAAACACCCAGAAGGACGTTCAAGCTCATGGATCTCACCCCCTCGCCGATATCATAGACGAGATTCAATACCGCCTATCTTACAATGACAAATGAAAGATTGTGAAGCTTGAATATTGTTCACTTTCAGTTGACAACGACGAGAACGATGTTTACAACAAGTTTGAGCTCAAGAATCAAGACGACGTTAGAGCGATGTGGCGAACGTATTTCGGTTTTGAAGAGAAGATTCTACTCGAGTTGGAGGCGACAATCCTAAAAACGGTCGATGACATCTTAGAGATGTGCAAACGTCCATCAGGCTATTGAAATGTAATATTTAAATTTCTGTCAAAATCATCAATGTAACGTCGATTTTATTTTATGAATGTTGATTTTATTGTTGCAATGTTGATTTTATGGTATTCTGTTTCTGGGTTTTTTCCCCCCGTAAATATGAATAAGGAAGTCTTTTATAGATGCATATACAGAATAAAATAAAAAAACTGAAAAAAGATGCATCCGAAGATACATCTCCGGAAGCAGGAGGGTCATTTTTAGAAACGCACGTAGTGCGTAAGAACCCCAAGGGGTGGGGTAAGAAATTCTCTAGATAATTACTCATTTAAATAAGCGAGGATGAATGTGAGAATGAACACCTTAATACCCACCATATCCCATACACGCACAATATATATTTATATATTTTAATGTATATTATTATATAAAAATAATTGTTTATTAATTTTTAAAAAAATATCAATTTTAAAATACTACATATTTAATATTTAATATAAGTGATTATTTATTTTATAATTCATCAATAAATTTATTAAATTGTTTTAAAAACTTAAAATATTATGATATTTCATATTTAATATGTTTATTTTTTATTAGAAATATGGATAATAGATACGAGAACGAACACTTATATATTTATAGAATATGCATACGAGTGTCAATGTTGATACCCAAACAAATAAGAACTCAGATACAAGAATTTGATATAAAAACAGATATTATAATATCATATCAAACTCTACCGATTGTCATCCTTTGATATAAGAGACTACTAAACTTAAAAAACTAAATAAAAAATATCAACTCAAAATCTAAAATAGTAGTAACATCAAGAAGCCA